GTAAAGACTTAAAAGTGCTTGAATCGATTATCAGTAATCTTATTAATATTTTATTTTTTGTTGTTATATTTTTGTTAGACAACCATTGTGTTTTAAACCTAAAGGGTCTATAAAGGGGGTAGTGAAAATAATGGATTAACTATCCAACGTTGTTTATGATAAAAGGATTTGAAAATTATGGTTTTAAATAAATGAATAAAAAATAGTGCTTATATTCTGGTATTCATGATTATAGACAATGTCCTTATTTAGGATCTGAGTAGTGACTGCGGGTCTAGCCCATGCTAGGAATACAGCAACAGTGCTTGTTTATTTAGCCCGGCTTCCAGAGAATAAATATGTACTTGTTTCGTAATCAGTTATGTGTTTTATAAAAATGTTAATCTGACTGATAAATTGAGGAAGAATGACATTGATGTCCTGTTGTGAGTGAAAGGTGGGAGAGCCTCTTAATGGGGACTGGAATTTTTAGTATCCAGCATGTCCGTGACGAGGTGAAGAGACAAGTGTGACCCGTCAGGGGATCATGCGTCACCACTCCCCCTTCCGTAGTGACCTCACTGGTTAGACCAGACGTGGCGGTATTGGACCCCACATTGGTCTAAAACGGGGGACTGAAGGGGTGGTCAAAATCCCTTGCCTCTTCAGTATATATTTCATAATATAATTTTGAATGATTATGTATTTCTTTTATAAAATCAATAATTAAGTATGTTTATTGTTACTTAATCATTTATTGACATAAATGTATTCTTTGTGCTTTTGCTTGTGAAATAATATTCTTAAATGCATGCTGATGTACATGCACAAGTCACCAGCTTCTTTTAGGTGCACAAGGCCATTTGTCTCTTTCTCTGGTCTCAGGAGAAAGGTTTATGGATCATAAAGGCGTCGTGAACACATATGTCCAACACATATGATACTTCTCTGTACAGATGGTCAAGCTATATTGAGCATTGCTTTATTGAACTTTAATTGTTATATTAAACTGTATTCTTTCTATTATATTTGCTTTCTGAGAAGCAAATGTTATCTGTTTTTCTCCCAAACGAGTGAATGTTTTACCATTATGTTTTGGTACACTTAACTGATAATAAGCCGCTCAGACTCTCTTCAGCCTTGATGGGAGCTCCTATTTGCTAGTGTCCTATGTGAATGCAGTAACAGTGAAAATAATAGGGAAATAGGGATTTGGTTTATGTTTGAGTGTTAAAACATAAAGGGGTCATTGAAGCCAACAGTTTAAGGCACTATTTCTTTGTTAAAGTCTTACTCCAGTTAGACTAAAGTTTAGTGTTAGTCTTCTTAGTTGCAGGTTAAGGAACCACTGCCATTATTGGAGATTGAATGAGTTGTTGTTCTGGACACACTGGCGCCAGCAACCCAAATCTGTGACCTGGAAGGTCATGACGTGCCTCATCGATGGAGATATGTTTCGTCTATCTGTATATGTGTGGAAAATTACTGTGTTTATCTATATCGTAGCCAATGAGAATCATTCAACGTGTAAGCAATGACGTAGCTTAGACCTTGAAAATGGTATAACTGCTGTGATCTTTGTAACTGTAAGCGGGCGGCCTACGAACTCCTGAGTGAGTCTTGAAGCTGACTTCTGCTGATGAAATGGCAAACTATGTTCAGTAAAACTTTCTTTAATTTTTATAAGTCCGACTCCGGGTCTTCATTCTTCATATCTGGTTCTGGGTCCTTTAACTGTTAACCCCTAACAACAGCCTTAGTCAAACGGGTTGGCGCGTATGGTTGGGTTGCGAAGAGATTGTGGTGAGGTCACATGTGAACTACGAGGAAGGATCAACCTCAGCAGCAGGATGGATGTAGAGGTCAGTAAGCTGGTCTGAGTTGAGTGGGGGATGGAGGGGGGTGACTCTGGGACGCCAGAGTCACTGTCAAGCCCTCTTGAGGTGTTGTGGGCTAGTCGACGAAACACGGAGGACGGAAGGTGCCCATTTGAAGACCCTAGAGATGTCCCCTACTCGGCTCAATCCTGATGGTTGTTACTGGTCCACTGGTTAGAGCATACTGTAGTTGCAGCCGTTGTGTGTGCTGACGCACCAAGTACACTGCAGCCATTTATGCCAGACAGAAAGGGAGTCACACCACCATATGGAAAGAAGCGTAAATGGATGGAGAAGCATAGTTTACTGTAAAGCTACGTCTTAGTTTGTGCTAATCTTGGCGAAAGCCAAGTACAAATCTGCATGAAGTTTTAACATCTAATCTATTATTACTTGTGAAGATGTAAATTTCATCTTCACAAAGCCAAAAACATGCACTGTAATCCCAACTTGAGAATATGATGTACAGTCATGTTTTACTTTCTTTAAGAATATGCCAGAACCTTTAAACTCAAAGGCTTCGAAAACATGCATCATCACTGAGTCTGTTAGGGTAAAGTAAACATCTAGATGCTTTGCCACAAAAAGCCATTAATTTTTAATGATGAAAAAATGTTATATTGTGTTGATTTGTGTCATTTTTATAACCCCACTTGTCTGTATGTCCCCCTTATTTCTTACTGTTAATATTGGTATACTTTCATTTGCAAAAAAAGACTAAACACATAATGGGCTCTATGCACGGCGTTATTTCCGGTGAAGCATTAGGGATGCTCGATAACTTCCGCCGATCGTAGAGTCCAATGCAATACCGAGAATTTATATTGAATTTTATACTCCATGGTTATACTAATGAAATGTTAGTCACAAAAACAGATAAAACAGACACCCCTCGTTGTGTTTATGCTTCTTTTTAAAATTATATTAAATAAACATAACTATATATAAAATTACATCTAAACGTATGTACGTTTCGTTTCAAAGACGGGAGGACAGTAAATATTGAAGACTCTGCCATAATCCCGTTTTCTCCGGTTTTCCTCCGCTTTAATCTCCACAACCGGAAATGGACGAGCATCCTTACGTCAAATGCGGAACTTATGCGTGCATATAGCCCATTGCCATGTGCATGACGTCATCAATTTCACAGATCCACGTTACACAGAGATAAGGGTGTCATTTTCAAAAGTTTGTGTTTTCAAGCCAACAAAACTTTAATAAGATCATTGTTTGATGTTGTTGGTGTTTAATGGTTGTAATATCTGTTTCTCTGAGTCTTCCCGTGGATCTAATTTGATCAAACCTGTCAAAATGGTCAAAAAACTGACTGACAAAAGAAAGTGAATAGGATAAATAGGGTTTAAGGTTGGCTTTTGTTACTTTAAAAAGTAAATGGCAGCTTAAAAATCCTGGGCGAGTATGTCCAGACCCACAAATCTCTAATGATGCTACTAAAGTCTATAAAAATAGGACATCATTTACTGTGAAGGGATTGGATAGAATTTTAAGTATTTGTCCTGGCAGAAAATGACCACATTTTCAGTTTTCAGACACTTTCAGACACATTTTCAGTGCTGATATGGACATTAAATTGTTGATGACTTAAGCAAATAACCACCAATACCACTCTAGCAACCATATAAGCAATGAAGTTTAAAACCTCTCTCTGAACACTATACTAACCGCCCTGTTGTGTCAGTGAGTTTTAAAGGAGTTGACAATTGACCTTATCAGCTTAAAACACATGCTCGAACACAAACATCTTTCAAAATTCTTAGATTCTCTGTGAAAAACTACAGAACAAAGAAAGTTATTTTCTCTTATCTTCTTCATTTACTCCTCATTTTGCTCCTTAGTAACTTATACAGTGCTCTCATGCTGGCCTATGACCTTTGGTAGGGGTAGGAGTGAAAAGAGCAAGACCTAGATCAAACACCTGAGAGGGACTGCTACAGGTATTTCATTGTTTTCTGTCCTAACATTATCCTCAGGAATTCAGAAAGCTCTTATAGATTTAGTTCAACAACAAAAGGCTGTTGTCAGTGAGTCATGATAAATGGAGATTTGACAGGTTGATAGCAAAAGCTTGCTGCATTTAACAATGCCTTGAAAAAAAAAACACATTCCATAAACAGTGAGGTAACATTTGTTATTAGAGTATTGTTTAATTTACAAGCTTTTAAATGTCAGCCTGCATGCATGAATGTTTCTGTTGCTGGTTCTCTGAAAACGGTTGTTTATTTTGTCTGTTTAATTATTCAGTACATTGAACTAGACATTTAGAAACCATTAATGTGTGTAATTTCTGTGCAACAATTAAACGGAATTATAAAAATTGTAACTCATAGTGTAAAATAGGTTTCCTGAACACTCCCCTGCCTACTTTTGTTTGGACAATCGCTTACTCACATGCCAAACTACACCATTGGTTGTGTTCAAAATGATAACAGAGCAATGTTTAGGTAGTCACTAAGTGTTTACAAGGGAGGTAACAACATACAGAAGATTTACTCGTAGTTGTCCATGCATATTAAACTGAGATTTTAAAATTACAAAGCTATAAATGAGCTGAAGTCAAGCAAATTTTCAGACAATACTGACCTCTAGTGGTTATAATGGGCTCTTCAACTCTGGTCCTAATTAAACACATCTAAAATAAGGTCTTCAGGATTACTAGAAAGTCACGGGCAGATGAGTTTGATCGGGATTGGAGCTAAACTCTGCATGACGGTGGCCCTCTAGGACCAGATTTGAACAGCCCTGGCTTGGAATAGTCACTTGCACACACCTATAGTGACCTGAATTGTAGCCAACCAGGAAAGTAAAAGTGAGTATTCATATTTTTAAAAGTAAACTGCTACTGTAAAACTGTCTCTTTCCATTGCTGTAACCTTGAACAACTAAATCATTCTTTTAATGCTTTTGCCTGCTTGCAGCATTTCATTTCTTCACGTATCCTATGCCACAGACCTGGTCCCTTGTGATTGACCTAAACTGACATTTTTTTCCTCTAAAGCCACACAGATGTTCCAGGCAGTGAGTCAGCACCTTACGAAACAGGAATATGAAATATACTGCACGGCCGTCCGCCTGCTGTGAAGGAAAGTGAGACAGAGTGAATTGATGGGACACTTGTCTCAGCAGTGGGTGATATAAGACAGGATGCGTAAGACTTTCTGTTTTTAAGTCAGCTCATCTGCTCTTGGAAAAAAGTAGATTTTATTCCTGCTGTTTGTGAAGACTGGAAATGTATTCATCTCAGGGAAATTATTAGTTCAACCATATGAGTCACGAGAAAAAAAATAACAGGGTTGTAAAACATTTTAATGCAGCAAAGTACCGTTTTCCTTTTTTTTTTCTAATCTTATATATATATTTTCATTTTCTTTGTGGATTTGATTTTGATGAAGAGTTTGGCAAAATAAAAAGACTCAAATCTGAAACAATCTTCAGAATAGTCTTCTAAATATTTCTACAATGTTTGCTTACAAATATGTAATATCAATAAGTTATTTAGCAGCGACTTAATGAAACTCTCCCTACTACGGAGCAACCTGTGTTGAACTGTGTTTGAGAGCAAAATTCATGGTGCTCTCCTTGCACCGATTAGCCCATAGTTTTACCCACTATGCCTTCTTTATCATAACATCTGTCAACAAAACATCAAATGATCTTAAAGTAATATTTGACCTAATGAACATTCTACCATGATTTACATTACTCCCTTGTATGTCGTTAGAGAGGATTGGATCCATTGCAGAAGGTTTATCAAGGTAATTCCAAAATTTTCACAAGGAGACGAATCTGAGAACACCAACATAACTTTTTAAGTGTTTTGGTTATTTAATTACATGACAATTGTTTTTTGGAGGCCTAAAAAAATAAACGTTTTAACATTTTAACACAAGTTTCAAAGTTCAAGTTTGTGAAAACGTTACTGATATTGTATCCGTGTAAATTACAAAAACATAGATAGGCGCATATTGTTTCTTTACAAAGTGACATCACCAACTACTGGCCTGGCATGAACAATACAGTCTTTTTATTCATTTTTCGTTGCTCCGTGTGAACAAAATACAACAAAAGCACAGGGAACACAAAAGGAGAGGTTATGCAGAATGTCCAAACTGCTATAACATAGTTTTCATTTGGCATCACATCAGACCAGTTGTTCAAAGGTAAGCTGATCGGATTTTGGTTATCGGATTGGATCAAATCTTGAAAATGGGTTGTTCAAAAGGGCAAGAAGGAATCTGAAATCAGATTAGATCAGGGAATCCAATCCTAGTTTTAATCTGGATCAAACCTTCAGTTTGTGTTGTTCAAAACTTGTCAGTGGGATTTGGATAACTTTGATCCAAAAAAAAAAACCAGGATTATCCTGATCCCATGGTAGGATTTCAAGGTGAATTTCAGGAAGAAAATGTAGTAAAACTTGGTCAAATAATACATTTGTATCATTTAGTGTATATACTTTTATTTATATTTTGTACTTGACTTGTGTAACCGTTGTAACAATGATAAAGTAGACATAGGCTAACAATTAAGCTATTCAGTATAGTAAAGTAAAAATAAAATAAAAATTATCTTGTCCCCATTTGTGTTTTGTCTCAAAATAAGAAACACTTACAGTGACCCCATGTTGGCTCTTCTACCTGCTCTTTACATAGCTGGTAGCCCACATTGTGATACGTTGTCCCATTTAGAGCACTGGTAATCTGGATTTGGTAATCTTGAAAACTGTGTATCTGGATCAGGGTGATCCAGTCCAATGTTGCTTTGAAAAACCGCCATAAAATTATGATAGTAACACCCACCTGGAGGGTAAAACAAGGCTTTCCTCCGTTGCCCACCAGTCATGTTTACCGGGTTTGCACAAATGTAGTCTGACAGTGATATGAAAAGACCAAATTCAATATACAGCTTAGTAATAATGCATGGAAAAACTGCAAATTTAAGGCACATTAAGCGTTTTAAAATGTCCTGCTGTTTTTAGTGGTTGAAATACTGCAGCAGGGGCTGTGTATAGGTCGCAAGTGCCCAAATCTTTAATTTTGCTCATATATTTGATTTTTATTCTTTTGAGATGGAGAAATGACAGGCCTTTGCTGCAGTTCTTTGGATCTTTTGCCCTCCAGGTCTCTGTGCCAGTCATGTGAACCACAAAAGGAGTCCATAAAACTTGTGCTAGCGATATGTGAACAACTGATCAAAATGAATATGATGTCACATTGAAAATTTTACCCTCTGGTCTGGTGTATCTCCCAAATCTGCTTTTATTGTAATAAAAAGAGCAGTCTGATTATCCATAAGATCTTTTCGTCTTGTGTTCCATGGGAGAAAGAAAGTCATAAGAATTTAAAACAACATAAGTGAGTTAAATGAAACATTTTATACAGGTGGTGAAATAAAACTTGGAAAGAGCAAGGTTGAGTGACGTACAGCTGTGTGGAAGTCTGGCCCACCCAGTAAACTTACTCTCCTGGATACCACCTTGACTTTGCATTTCTCCACATGACATCATGGTCTCAGTGAGGTCAGAATAGGCTCATGACAGCACTATAATGTTGACACAAGGTCTCTCTGTTACCCACAGAAAAAGTGTAGTTTGGGAAAAACAGGATTGAGGGTGTGCATTTAAAAGCTGTGAAACCAGGAAAAATGTGAATATACAGTATTCCTGATTTAGTGTTATCCACGGGTCTTTGTTTCTTTCATTTTTGAGATTGGTATGGTCATAGCGGTTGGCATGGTAACGGAAATGACAATGTTAATCTATTGGTCTTGGGACAGACAGGTGTCTGAGAGACAGAAAGGGAAGGGTAAGAAAGTTGTCCGACATGCCTTGTGCACACCTAGGTATTTCACTTTGTATTGGATACACTAGTTTAGGGTGAGCTCCACCTGATGTATTTTACGTTTGGGTAGTTGGTGTAGGTCAGGTAATGCGTCAGAGGATGTAAAGAGTCATATATATATATATATATATATATATGAAATTAAATGGAAATATGTAAAAAAAAATATATGTATACACAAATCCGGCGAAACGCGGAAGTAAAGCAGCGCCGCCATTACTGCGGGCCTTGCTGCTGCAGAAGTAGCGTTGTTCTCGTAGGCGGCTATAGCAGATGTTAGATATTTTTATTTAGTTATTTTGTGCGTATGTCCAGTGATGCTGGGAAGAGCGTGTTGTGTGGTTGGCTGTTTTAACAATTTTCTCTATTGTTACTAACGGATTATGGTACGAGTTCACTGCCTGTGAAAACCTCACGACACCTTTTAATGTGATGAGCTCATCTGCGATGGTATGCAGTATCTGGCCAATCCATCCGGAGCTCGTGTAATTCTGACCTTCAATCAATGCCCTGTAATTTAGGCTCTGAAGCTCATCGCATGCCAGATTATTAATAAAATAATATTGAATACCTGTAAGAACATGTATTTTATTGCTGCAACTGGTCGTGGCTAATAGTTATCAACTTCAGAGAAAAATGTGGGAAAAGTGTTGTTCTTTACAAGAAAATAAGAGACACTCAAAATATTTGTACTGTGTCAAACAGTATATGTCATTTCAGGTTAGTATGCGTTTAACATTTTCTTTTTTTAAACACAAAAGTTTAAACATTTGTTTTGCTTAACCTATTTACGTACAATTTAATTGTAAATAGGATTTTAAGATCACACAAAAAAGTCACATTACACAAATCATTCATACTTCAAAATAATAGCATTTATCTGAAATAAAAACCTTTTGTAACATACGCTACATTTGAAAAAAATTAAAGAAAGTAATATACTACTTTTTTCAGCAAAGATGCATTAAAGTAATCAAAAAGTGAACGCAGACATTTATAATGTTACAAAGATTTTTATTTCGGATAAATCTACTTTGAATCTTCTATTCATCAAGGAATCCTGACTTTTTAAAAAGAAAACATCAATAATAATCAGAAATGTTTCTTGGGCAGCAAATCACATCAGCATTTTATTACCTCGGTAATATTTAATGTTTTCTTGCGTGGCTGGATGTTGAGATTGTATGGATTATGACCGGTGTCGTGATCATTCTCAAATGTCGTGTTGCTGGTGTAGTCAGTGGTTAGATCAGTAGGCTAGCAGTCTATTCTGCCCTACAAAGGCAATGCGCAGTAACTACACATTTGGTCAAAAATGAGTTAAGACTTGTAATGGGCTTTATGACATGTGTTCTGTCTTAAAAATATCTGGGTTAAATTATGTCCCGTTTCGGAGATGTATTACCATAATCTATCCATAACATGTTTGACTGGCTGGTATAAAAATTTTAAAGGCCTTTTTCTCCATTTCTTTGTTTGCATAGTTAGTGCATTTTGCCTTTGTAGGGCAGTATTTAATCGGGACAGTTGGCATGTGAACATATGATATTAGCAACACATCTATGACAGCGGTTTTATTGTTGTCATAAATTAATAGACGTCTTAATTAGCCTACATTACATTAGGCTGACGCATTTTTACATTAACACATGTTGTCAATAAATTACCTTTATCTGTATGTTTTGGCCACTGCCTGATATCATCTACCCAATGTAAACCAGACATTTTATTTCATAAGCAGGATCCGCTTTCATTGAAATATCATTAGAGGGCCATCACCGTCACACTTCGCAGGCCCGCAGTAATGGCAGCAGGCAAGATGGCGGGGCCCATAGAGTTCGTGGCGGATTTGTGTATAGATATGTGTTCAATATGTTGTGGAATATATTTTAAATATATTTAAAATTGTATGGAAATATATATATATATATATATATATATATAGATGTGTTCAATATATTGTGGAATATATTTTAAATATATGTTTAATTATATGGAAATATATAAATAAAATATATGTAGGCTATAGATATGAGTTCAATAAATTGTGGAATATATTTTAAATATATGTATAATTATATGGAAATATATAAATAAAATATATGTATAGTTATATGTTCCATATGTTGTGGAATATATTTTAAATATATGTATAATTATATGGAAATATATAAATAAAATATATGTATAGATATGTGTTCAATATATTGTGGAATATATTTTAAATAAATTTAAAATTATATGGAAATATATAAATAAAATATAGCAGACAATATATTGCAGACAATCTCAGAGATTTGTTTATATATATATATATATATATATATACATACAGTGGTGTGAATAAGTTTGGACACCCATGCTAAAGTTGCCTAAAAAGAGGAATAAAAAAATCATCTTTTGGATATTGATCTTAATGCCTTAATTAGAAAAATGTACATATATTGTACATATATCAATATATATTGAGAACATGCACATTCCAACCCGATCTCACGACCAAGTCGTACAAATTCGACGAATGATTAAAAAGTGGCTAATTCGTAACAATTCATACGACCTCACACATACGAATTAATACGATTTTGCTAAATCGTACATATTTTACGAATTGGCCAATTCGTATGAATTCGTACGAATGACCTACCCCTGACCCCGCCCCTAAACCTAACCATCACGTGGGTTTAGACAAATCGTAGGAATTAGTACGAGTGAGGTCGTACGAATTAGTACGAATTAGACACTTTTTAATCATGCGTCAAATTCGTACGAATTGGTCGTGAGATAGTGTTGCACATTCTGTAACGATGCAGGCAGGAATAAAGCAGAGATTGAATCCAATCGCAAGCACTTTTAATAAACAAACAAACAAACAAACAAACAAACAGGTAAACGGACGGGAACAATGAGACAACAAACATTACAACATCAAGAACTCACAAAGACTGAATTAAAACACAGGGCTTAAACACAAGCTAAACAAGATAACAAGGGCTCCCGGACAAAGTCTTGTATGACGAAACGCATCGGAGTGTTTTTATAGTGTTTATTATGACCAAGCCATAGAAATGAAGGCTTTTTAACTTTTCTAAAGAGAGTGCCTTGGATGCTCCTGTTGATTTATAAGATAACAAGGGGGCGTGGTTAAACTGAAACACTTGGGAAGACTAATCAACATAATGGGGAACAGCTGAACTGAACATGGGACAAGCAGAGCCCATCTAACGGAGAGCCTTAGCACTTCCTATTAGCCCCATTGTGCATCACCTTGGTTGCAGTTCCATTAGAATTCCACTGGAGGTGATCGCGGGTGAGTGCAGAATGAATCGGAGTCTATGGGGCTAAACGGCTAAATGTGTCTCTTTCACCTGCTTGTCGTTAAATCAAAATAGATTTTATT